GGATCTGCCTTGACAGCTTCCACAATAATTTTAAACTCAAATAGAGAAACTAGCTTTTTCAGCTCTACATCATTTCCCCATGGGCTGTGGGAGCACAGTACATCCAAGCCCTTTGGTCTAATTCTGTTTGCCTCAATGAGACAAAGAAGAAAAAAATCACACAGTTTCAAACACAGTTATTTTCCACCAGGTTTTCAAGACATACAGCAGCGTGGAAAGCAGAGGCGAAGTGTTGAAAAAGTTTACAAGGAACAATGACAAGACGTTCAATGTGACTTATAAATCTCTGTGCTCTGCCACAGATGCTGCTGAAGTCACAGACAGTGGGAGGAAGACTGTGTTTATCAAGCACTCTTTTATATAACAATAGACATGCAGGTGTTTTTTAGAATCCTAATGACTCCATACTGTGGGTAGGTTATGAGTTTGTAAATATTAGTGTTGTAATAACAGCAGGGCACAATGGGCACAATGTATGTGAAAACCTTTTTTTGTAGAACAATTAGGAGACTAGACAGAAAACAGGGAACAGTGTGGTGGGAACAGGGGTGGTGTGCAACGTATGTGGGAACTATGGATGGGTAGAAAACTAACGTCCACAGTGACCCAGAAGAAGTAGCTCTGTACAATAACATCAATAGATGACAGCTAATATCGAAGCTGGAAAGTGCAACTGGACTAAATGATGCCCAGCCACATGCGATGACAGATGCTGAGCTAAGGATGAAGATTGTGGCCAGAGGAGATGCTTGCAGATGTGAACACTGCTCTGAGCCCAACACACGTCTACCGGTAGCAGTGAAACTACTCACATATGCTACTGCCACACTAATCCTAGAATAATTTGGGTATGATCAAAGAGCCGAGTAAAGTAAACCCCCTATGGAGAAGAAGGCTGGGATCAAAAACCAGGGAAGCTTGGAAGGATATTATTTGGTTAACTACGGTGCAGAAGGTGAGCTTAATGAAAAAGAGGTGCAGCAAGATATTCATAAGAGAGGCTTTAGAAATTGCCAAGCAAAGGCTCACAGCTGTGGTCATTAGGCTCAAGGTATATAACACGGAAGCAAATAATAAAATAAAAAGAATAAAATATAAGATAGAAATGCAAAGTGGCTGATGGCCCTAAGTGTAGACCACAGCAACTTCCCAGACCAAGAGCCAGTCAATATCTCAACGAGAGCTGCACAGCACAAGGACCTGACTGGAGAAAGTAACAGCACACCATGATTGCCTGACAATGCAGGACAATCTTGATCATTAAGAATCCCTGCAAGGATACAATATCATCAAACTACTAGCTGATTACCTGCCTCGCCACAATATGGAAGCTCCTCTCAGGCATCACAGCAACTAAACTGAATATGTGCATGGGCATGTGACCTAATACATGGGTACAGCTCAGAAAGACATTGGAAATAATACCAGAGGGCCAAAGCAACAGCTCTTGGTTGACAGAGCAGGTTGATAGACTCCAAGGCCAGGCAGACCAACCTGCGCACCACTGGCATTGACTACAAGAAAAACTTGAAACTCAATGCCCCACATGTGGATACTGGTGTGCTAATAACATTCATCAGGGACTTACTGGGACTGTGGAAGACAACACACAAATCACCATCAATTGTGTGCTATACCAAGGTGACGTATTGTCCCTATTGTCCCCCCAAGTCCATTCACTACCAAGAGTTGATATGAATTCAGGAGTGAAGTGGTCATCAGCAACCTCCTGTACAAGGCGGACATCAAACTGTAGGCTGAGACTAAATAAAATATTCACAACTGATCCACCTAACCTCAGGATATCATTTGAACTGGATAAGTAAATGGCCTGCATTTGTATAGCGCTTTACTCAGTCCCTAAGGACCCCAAAGCGCTTTACACTACATTCAGTCATTCACCCATTGGTGATGGCAGCTACATTGTAGCCACAGCTGCCCTGGGGCGCACTGACAGAGGCGAGGCCGCCGGACACTGGCACCACCGGGCCCTCTGACCACCACCAGTAGGCAAACATGGGGTTAGTATCTTGCCCAAAGATATTTGGCATGCAGGCAGGAGGCAGCCTGGGATCAAACCACGACCTTCTGATTAGTGGCTGACCTGCTCTGCCACCTGAGCTACAGCCACCCATATTGAGCTAAGGAGAGGAGGTGAGCTCATTGTCCAGTCATTTGCAGGTGGAGCTACAAGAAGCCAGAATAGCACATATACAGGAAAGCTAAAACTAGCTGGGTGTTGCCAAACGGGAAGTCCAACTGAAGTCCAGCACCCTGAGGCTCTATGACCAACTGAAAAAGGAAGTTTATGTTGACTAAAAGAAAGAGTGGGGACAAATAGCCAAATGATATCACATTGGATATTTGCAGGATGACTCTGAGAAGATTGAGTTTTCATACTAAATAAATAATAAAAACAAAACCTGGAACAAAAGAGATAAGCTCTATGTCATCTTGTCAACAACAAGATGAGCATAATTTCTGATTTTTACTTTTATTTTTTTTATGTTAAAATGTAGGAAAGGCAAGATTTTAGATTTTTATCTCATACATAAGGATTGAAGTTCCCAAACGTTATTGAAGATGCACATTAAATCGAAGTATTTATATACACATTATAGAGTCATATTTATATCTTATTGGTACTTTGTAATCTTGGTGTTAGGAGGGTTTGTACATATTATTTGCCCCTTTTTGGATAATTGAGTTTTAATGCTACATCATCACAGATTCCAAATACAAACCTAGAGAGCAGAGCCTGAACACAAGTGTGTGGTTGAAACAAGCTACACCTGATTCATACCACAATATTGCCTGAATTACAGATTTTGATGTTATGTAATACAATTCAAATGCATTCTAGCATTATTAGACATACTTCTATATTTAGATATAATTGCTGCAGTAATGATGTACACAGTGAGCACTGTGCTTATTTTATGAGATCTATCACTGGCAAATGTTGGTTGATCCTGTCAAAGACAAAAGCAGCTTAAAGTATATGAGATTATTTTTGCTGTTGTGAAACAGTTTGAATGAACTGGAACAGTTCGTATAGCATTTTTCAGGCTGCACCACTTGTCATCACAGACATGACATACAAGACTGGGGTTGCTCTTTCATGTGAACAAGGTGATACGGCAGCTGTCAATGGGATGACAGTTGCAAGCTGGTATGAGCAGGACTGGCCAGGTAAAGTTAATATTTAATTAAAGCCAGCCATATACTATGGGCCACAGTAACAGAGTGTTAAGCTCAGCATTTCACACATGATAGATTTCTCTAGAAATGAAAGAGTATTTACAGATTCATGTTTTATTACTGGCCTTTATTATCTGTCAATGTGTGTTTTTTTGTACTCATATTACCAAATTTTTAATGTAGTCAAGGAAACTCCTTTATATATATTTTTATTTTCTTAGTCAAAATGCTGTACACAACAATACAGTATAGAGAAGGCAGAGGTACCCTATTTATCTGCAACTGCAGATAAGTTACTATAACTACAGCATATGGCCCCAGTAGTGAGGGCCTCCCACATTGTGTCAACTATAAATTCTAGTCTGTGTGAGTGATGCTTTCGGTAGCTATGGAAACCTAATATAATAGACCCCCCTCCCTCCCTCCTCCTCCTCCCTGGCGCGCTCTCTCGCTCTCTTTCTCTCTCCGGTTTATCTCCATGTCTCTCTCCCTCTCTCCATCCCCAGCAAGGCTCTTCAGTCTACTTTGCGCATGTACAGACAGCCAAATAGAGCATTGCATCGACTCCAAGATGGCGAAAACACGTCTGGCTTGGCTCTTGACTCTCCTCTCAACTCAGTGTAAGTGCAAAAAAATATTTTAACCGACTACTACTTTGTCTTTTATCCGCTCGAGGAAGGTGGCCGCCAAATGCCATCCGCTACTACATCTGTTTGGTCGATTTTTCTTTTACACCAACAGTAAGTGGAAAAGAGAGTGCCTCAGAAGTAACCGTGTAGACTCAACTAACGTTAAACTTAAACCAGACTGACAGCGAGTTCGGTCTCTTCGACGTGAAGTAAATATAGTTAATGAAGTGACCGAAATAGTCGCCATTTTTAACTTAATGTCAACGCGAGTCTGGCAAATGCACGGCTGGAGTGATTGTTTGAAGCGTCCATTGTTACTGAAAAACATCGCTCAGACTACTCTCAAGTATTGATTTTATTGGAATAATGCCGCCGTTAAGAGGAGTGACAGATATCTACATGTAACTACACATCAGGAAAGCAGGGCTGTCTGAGCTGAATGTTCAGATCTTCAGTTTAGCGGCACATTTGGAGTCGCTAAGCCGACACGTTTTCTGTGTGCGCGTGTCCTGGCTCTGAAAAAGTTTCTCTACAGCATGAAGACAAACTTTTCGTTGGGAAATTAAACATGAATTAAGGCGGTTTTGTAGCTCGTTCCGTTAACTATTTAACGCGGGTTTGAAGCTGCGGTGATGATGTTGGAAGTACTGACGCGAGATAACGGATTTTTCCTACAGCGGAATAAAAGCAGGCTGACCGCGGGAGGAGCCAGGCAGACCAGCAAAGCGTCCTCCACCCCCCTCCTCATCATCCTTCTCCTCCACTCCAACGCTTTCAAACCGCGACACGGCTGGTGAACCGACAAAACCGAAATAAAATTAATTCTTTTTACGGTGTCCACCTGAAAGTCCTCATAACTTTATCAGTCCGATACCTAGAACAGAAAACGGACACCTGTAAGAGCGGAGCGGTTTGTTTAAATATTCATGCGCGAGCTCCTAGTTCCTTTACACGTTTCTCACACGGTTTTTGGATATTTGTCATAAGACAAATAAGTCATATTCATTCATATGATTTTACATAAATTTAAAATTTATTATTTGCTCAGACCCGTTGGGAAGGGCCTTGAAGTTCAGGGTGCTGCTGTAGACGGAAGGTGTTTTACGTTTGCGTGGTGGTGGTTGAGGGCGGGTACTAGACTAAAAATTGTTAGTATACTTCATACACATTTTATTTAACAAGTCTGAGTCTGATTTTCAGTAAATATTTCACTCATCTAATGCAACTGGAAACTTAATTAAACACAGTTGTCTTCCAACGAGCAGGCCCCGAAGCACAAAGCAGACGAGAATAAACCAAAACAAAGATGAACAGATCCAGCAGTCTGTTCCACAAAGCCAGAAAAACACATTTTAAACATCCTGAAAAGACAATAATAAATACTCTGCTCTGTGAAAAGGTTCACACAC